CGCCTCTAGCTCTTTTCTAGCCTGGCCCTATATCAGCTAACATTGCCCGTCCAGGAAGGCGATGATTAGGCATTCATTCGTAACACATGTCCTAACCATCTCACTCAGTCGATGTAATTTCACAACCTCGTCGATTGATTTCCCCTCCCACAAACCTAGCACTCACTGGACGCCGAACCTCCATATTGCTCACCTTATTATACCACTTCACACGGGAGATAGAACGCAGTCAGGCACCTATGATCGAAGACAGCTAGCTAGCCTTTTCATGTTTTCCACTGTCAATGGTCAAGTCTCACACTCGGGCATAAAGGAGGACGGAGCGGACTGTTGAGCAGTACATACGCCCTTTGGTAGATAGTCGGATATCACATCTACTAAGCCAGAGACGGCGTAAACTGGCATATGCGAAACTAGCCCTCTGTATCCGTACTCAGCTGAGATTTCGTCAGAGATCAACCCGCTGGCACTGGCTGATGGTACTTCCCAAGTAAGTGAAGTGATCAACGTGCTCTACCACTTCACTTCCTATTTCTAATCTAGGGGTCGGTGAAGTCCAATCCTACAGCATCATCTTGCATTTGACAGCGGGAGCGAATCGCATGCCAAACATACAAAGATTGTTGCTCAAGGTGTTCAGTAGACTCTGCTGGATTTTGTCAGCGTCTTCGCCTAGAAGGACTATATCACATCTGCATATTCTAAGTCAACGAGATTATTCCCTCGCATGGTAGCAAGTCAATCCCTGAGTCGCTGAAGTGTGTTAGGGTTAAGTCCATTATAGTACGTCTATGATGAAGTTGATTAGGAATGGGGATAATGGGCATCCCCTCTGACGGGCACCACTAGTCGTCACCACTTCAGATGACAACTCGCCATAAGCCCTCACCTGGCTGCCAGTTATGAATACTGGCAAAAAAAGAAATACGCAAAGTCAGTTGGGGTGTATTTAATATATGCACAGCACACATATTAATGAAAACAACACAAAAGAAGCACACAAAAAATATTGTGACGCCGTCTCTTACTTCAGCCCCAACAGGCAGCAAATAAACCTGAATAATATCAGATTCTTTGACAGTTGCTTTTGTTTGATCTTCAAAATGAACGAGACATCTGTAAAAAGAATAAGTAAATTTTAAAAAAAGAGAGAAATAGAAGAGAAATTCACGTTTTTACTTTTTAGAGGGAAATTGATCCTAGTTGGCTAGAGATATTACCGATTCCACAATATGATTGTATAACTTGAAAAGGATTAGCAATTATAGGTTTAGTAGCATGGAGAAACTCTGTACAAATGTATATATATGATTTTCTATTCAGAAGTTACATCCGATGAGGGAGGGAATTGAATCATACGTGTGGATGCATAAAATAATAATAATAATAGTAGCAGTAGTAGTATGAAATGCAATTAAATCTAAAATGTTTGTGATTATTATTTATTATTGTTTCCTTTAATTCCTAGAGGAACATTGTGTTTCAGCCGTGCGTCTCCATTGCGTTCGGTTCTCTGCTAGAGACTTCACCTGGCTCCAAGTCTGCCCACATGCTTTCATCATCTCCTCTTCACATCACCTCCTCCAAGTCACCCTTGGACGACCAACTTGCCGCTTCCCTTTCAGGTTCCACTCAAGAGCTTGTCTAGTGATGGCACTTGATGGTTTCCTCAGAGTATGGCCACAAACCAATCCATCTCCATTTCCTCCTGCCTATTTGTTTCACAATCGGTTCCTGCTTGGTTTGCACCTAGAGATCTCTATTGCTGATCTTATCTGGCCTGCCATCTGATCTTGAGTATTGAGCGAAGACAACTGTTAAATGAAGGTCTGTAGTTTGTTTGAGATGCTCTTTATGACGCGTTGGTCAAGTCTCTGATCCCTATAGTAGCACTGACTTCACATTGGAGTTGAAAATACGGATCATATTTTTGATGCTGAGTGCTGTTGACCTCCACACAGACTTGAGAGTAATGAAGGCTTGTCTTGCTTTCCCGATCCTCACTGCTTTGATATCCTCGTCAGTTCCTCCTGTAGTTGAGACGATGCTTCCCAGGTAGGTGAAAGAAGTTGTTTCCTTCAGGTTCCTCCCATTTATGCTGATCGTTGTCTGTTGTTGTTGTTCTTGTCCAGGAATCTTCATTAGCTCTGTTTTCTCTATGTTCACCTGAAGTCCTATCTTCTCTGGATGCTTCTTCTGCCGACTTGTTGCTTTTCACTTGCATATCTTCCAGTTTGTGGGAAATCGGACATATATGTTACATCGGCGAAGTCCAGATCCTCCAAGTTCTGTTTTTGTGTGAGTCCATTTTATGCCTGTTTCCTCATTGCCCGCTGTTTGTCGCATTATCCAATCTACTGCAATCAGGAAAATCATTGGCAATAGTAGGCAGCCAGCCTTGTCTTACTCCTGTCCTCACTTCGATGGATTCCGTAAGTTTCCCATTGTGGATTACTTGGCATGCAGCATTGTCGTACAGCTGTTGGATGAGATGTATAATTGTCAGTGGTACCCCGTAGTAGCGAAGTAGTTGCCATTTTCACACAGTATTACGTAACGTCTTTATTTTATTTTATTCGATTTGTCTACTAATCTTATAATTGCAGATCCCCTTTCCAAGTTCTATCCATCCTATTAAATTATTCTATGTATGTGACATTAATTGCTTCGCTACTTGACATTTAATTATGATTATAATCACAAACATTTTAGATTTAATTGCATTTCATACTATTATTATTACTATTGTATGCATTCACTCAGACCTATGATTCAATTCTCTCCCTCACTGGATATAACTACTCAAAGAAAACCATTTATGTATACGATTGTACAGCTTGATGATAAATTCGTTGTTAAAGAGTCTCTTCGGTGACTGAATCACCTCTTGTTTTGATTTTCTTCTATATCTTACTTACAATAGGAATTTTCCATGGGATTGTATAACTAACAATCTAGTTTTAACCCCAAGGGAAATGGACATTAAAGTCATTGTGATCATCAATTGGTGCGCCATACTAATTTCATTCAAATGCTTACCGTAAGCTATTTTTACTGGAGTAGGCTTTTCCAGCATAATAATTTCCTTCAAATTTCCATTTTGCATAGACCCATTGTTCATCTACAGTCGAAAAGAAACAAACAACAAAAGTAGGAGTAAACAGAGCAAAAACAGAATAAGCGATCATATGCAGGATGAGTTTGTTCGTAAGGATTTGGTTGATTGGTTACAGGATTTCGGCTAGTCTGACTGACTGCCCCTGTTCTACTACTTTCACCTATGTATTTGACCTGACAATCATCGCAGACAGGGCATTAGATAAACTAAGTTGTTTTGCTCTAAAGGCTCCACAGGATTTATCGTTTAACGGAAAAAGCTTGTTTCTAATTGAGTTTGTGGTACGTTTGAATACCAGCCACTTTTAGTCCTGCCTACCTTGTAAATAATTCTCCGTCTCCGAGGTTTCTGAGGTTCCTTCGTTGTATGCAATTACTGCTGATGATTTAGATTCCTTATTGTTGATGTTATCTTGCGCATATTTGACATACAAGTCGTCATTAGTATTATTCTTATCACGTATGCCTAGTCATCGCCTTCCTTGACAGCCAATGTTAGCTGATATAGTCAAGTGGAAAAGAGCTAGCGGCGGTCAAACGAAAACATGCCTTCACCAGTCAATGAAATCCACAACAGTTAGTCTAAGCCATGTAGGAAGGTGTAGACTTCCTGACTGGTTGAGGTCCTCGGGATGACGGTAAAAACCAATGAAGGCTGGAAACAATTGGTGACATGGCTCAAACTGATCGTTCTCAGTGTCGCAGATGCATCCACTCCTTGTGACTTATGATTTCCAGGTAAACTGTTTTGTTCTTCGCCACTACTATACTTTTGTCTCACACCTCTGTTTACTGTCTCTCTATTATGCATTTCTTCTACTTTCTTCTCTTGCTTTGTGTGCTAGAAGGAGTGGGGGAGTGTGGCGACTTGAACTGCCGCACATATGCGCAAAGTTCTATGTCGAAAACCGACCGACTAACCGATTATCACTATCACTACTATCATTATTTATTTTAGTTTTACATTTCCCCACATATTTCCTGACTAATTTATCCGGGTAATTATTAAGTTTCAAGGCTTCTCTTATCTGTATCACTTCCTGTATTAGATTTTCCTTGGTACTACTTAGTTTTTGTGCTGTGTTGTCACTTAAACATTTCAACAATCTTATTTTGACTGACATAGGATGGGATGATCAGAAGTTCAAATATCTGTTTCAATGTGTCGGTTCCCTGTAAACACACTCGTGTTCGCCTTCCTGACTTTCCAATTCATAAGTGAATTGAATTGCATCCACCTTTGAGTTATAATGTGTTCGAAAAATCTGTCTATATCCTGTGTTCCAAGTACAGTGAATGTGTCATCTACATACATCCACCATACATTTCGGGTGGCAAATACATGTAATAGGAATGATTCAACACCTATCCAGCCAGATATCTGCAAAATTCTACTACCCCAATGACGATGACAAATAGGAGAGGACAAAGAAAACTGTAAAACTCAAGTCTCAAAGTCGTGTGATTATAATTGATTGGTATGATAATGAACAATGAATTTTGTTCGAGACTGTGTCATCCAGTAAATACTAATACTGTTTCACCCACTGACTGTGTGTGATACATCCATCTAATAAACAAACTAATATGCAACTACTTACTAACACCACCGCAGTGCTCAAATTTTTACGTTGAGCATTTTGACAATCTACACATTTAGCCACATGACAGCTAAGCCCAGCCGAGCCAAGCCCAGCCCAGGTGGAAACACTCTTGATCAAAGTGCTTGATTCTCACAATCTCAAAACTGTGATATTATTATAGCTCAAGTGTTGCTTAAGGCAATAAATCAGCACAATCAGTCTTACTTACACATGTTAAGCTTAATAATAAAATAAAATAATGAAAAAACTACACTCACACACACAAGTTTGTGGCAGTAATCAATCGCATATACCTGAAGTCGTTTTGTTCGGTGTAAGCGTTTCATCCCGAGCACTGGATACTGATACTGTTGCTGTCGCCGTCATTGCTTTCTTGTCATTGTCATTATTCCCTGGTGAATTCGTCTCTGAATCAGTTATCATCACATAGGTGACTTCGTTTACTTCACTGTGTTGATAAAAAGTACAAAAAAGGATCATAGAATAGAATATAACTCAGTTGCTCTAATATTAGCTATTTTTATACTTCATAACTCTTAAGGGAAACCTAATTTATTAGTCTTTTGTAGTAATCCACTTGTTCACTAGTATGGTGATAATACTGCTAACAATGTCCTCTGGTATTATTGTGCCATGTGACATAATGGGAAGCACTTGTCATGAAAGCTGTTAATGTGCAGCATACTGTATGATTGGGACGGAGTCAAAGCAATCCAATATTACAAACTGCAGTCATTGTAAAAGGTCTCAGAGCTTAATATCAAAAAAGGAGGGAGGGTGGCGCATGCTGATCAGCAGATTTGGTAGTGGTCACAAATGTGAATCGCTCCGATCTGTATGACAGCAACATGCATGCATTATTTTGGCAGCTCGAGAATTAAACATGAGTTTAGATACTGAATGTATGAAAAAAATACAAAAAAATTAGACTTTAAAAAACCAAAAGAATAATGGCTGTACAGATTTAACTTATAAAAAAATTATACTTTCGCTCCTAACATCTACAAGCCTGCTCAGTTTCTTGTCAACATGCTACCCCATGGGCCATACACAAGTTCGCCAGACATCTTCCAGGTCGCCATATCCAACAGGTTCTAATCCTTCAAGCCACTTCTCCCTAATACGTCACTTATATACTTCACGATAATCCTTCTATCTAATTACTATTATACTCTATTTTATCTCAACTTCCTAGGCCTTAAATAAAGCTAAAATTTACTCTTTTTCTTTTCTTTCTTCTCATTTACACTCTTCTCTCGCATAAAGTTCGGTTGCTCTGATGATAAAAAAAACAAACATAACAACAGCACTCATGTTTCAGAATAACTATATTTTCATAGAAAACGTCATAGTTTTCCATGGTAAGACTAATATGTTAAGCATCATACATTGCAAATGTGCACTATCATACCAAGTACTGTATAGCTTATTCTTGTATTTTACTTGTAAATATACTTCCAATAATGTATTATTCATGATTGCATTTCATAATACTTTGTAGCTGTGCAGGATTTTCTCCTCTTCCTGAAATAGAGTTCAAGCACATGGGGTCACAGTACTCACTCAAATATATATATTTTGTTTATCGATGGGCCATTACTATCATCATCAGGAAATGGAACGAAGTATGGGTTGTCTCGCTCAACTTCGATGGAGACCTTCGTGAAAGATTTACAAATTAACAATTATAAGAATCCGTTCCGATTGCTTGTACTATATATATTTCAACAATTTGAACTTTTTAAAAACAGTGATAATATATGCTAATTCACAATTGTAATTCGTAACATAATTGATCGTGCCTGTAAATAAATGGCATGCATTTCATGTAAACTTACCCGTTTATACGAAATATATATATATATTATTATTATTATTGTTAGGCGAAACCTAGACGTCCATCAAACACTAACTTGAATACAATAATAATAATCTACTTTATTCCAAAAACAGCACTACTTATAATACAGAATGGAATTCTCAGCATTTGTCACAACACCTTGCATCTGATTTACTCAAAATATATATAAAATTAAAACAAAATTAATCGGAGGAATTTGTCCATATTTACGACATAATTATTAGATGTAATAATAATAATAATAACAGTGAGTTTGTTTCAAACGGTATTGTCGATTCAGTTTGGGAACTTGTTAGCTTGTTACAGATTATTGGGTCTAATGTTCAGCATGGCATCTTGAGGTAAGCCAATGCTTAGGATGTCATAATAGTCTCGAAAAACTCTTGTGACGTACATAATAATTATCTTTCAAATTTGACCTCGAAAAGTGAATTTCAACCTGTTTTGTTTCTTCAAGATTAATGTGTGACAGTGTGATTCAAATTTAGGCCACAAAAATGATGATTATTATTGTATTGTATTGTTCCCTTGGGTTCATAGTGGAACATAGGGCTTCAACTGCACCTCTCCACTTGCTTCTGTCTTGTGCTGTACTTTTCACTTGCGTCCATGTTATTCCATACTGTTTCATCTCCTCCTCACACGATCTCCTCCATGTCACCCTTGGACGTCCCACTCGCCACTTCCCTTTCGGGTTCCACTCGAGGGCTTGACGCGCGATGTCACTCAACGGCCTCCTCAGCGAGTGTCCAATCCATCTCCACTTCCTCCTGCATATTTGTTGGGCGATTGGTTCCTAGCCTAGATTACTAGGTCACTAGTATTCTAGCCGGTCCCAAGCCCGGATAAAGAGGGAGGGTTGGGGCGTGGTGCTAGCAACTCCACCCCCGAAACTTAACCAAATCGCTACTAAAACTTCAACGCACAAATATATTCAAATGATGATTAGGTCATAAGTATCTCAGCAAGGGCACTGTCCAATAACACTGTAACACAATGACTTATTATTATTTTTTAGATGGCTGGCTAATGAGTGTAAACATCTGCTGAAGTCAGATTTTATTTTATGAAAAACTCCAACAGTATCAAACAAAGCTTGGAAAAAAAAGATTAGTCCTTCTACCTACTAAGCTGCTGTCGGAATGCGAAGTAAAAATAACAACCACCTGCTCTGCAAATAGGATTTAGAGGCTAAAGATATCGAGGTTCGCGAACTGTACGGAGTATACTAACTCAAGATCTTATACCAACAACTTCTGTAGTGTTCGCTCTTCGAGTACCAAAGATAAAGCAAAAGATCAGATTTAGTCGTCCAAATACGAGATATATTTCGGGACCAAATCGCGGGTTGAAGTGAATGCTTAGCTAGCTAGTGATCGTGCACGCACGTGACACGACGGAGTACCAAATGGCATGGATGCTTGACCGGAAGCCTTCAGCTAAACAAGTCGACTTAAACAGTGGTGGTCAGCATCCAATGTTGAGTGATGATTGCTGTGGTCAATAATTTTGGGGAATTATTCACCGCTACAAGGTTAACCATTAGATGTTCCGTTTATAATTAGGCTAAAACTGAGTTTCCCAATCAAGTACCTAGAAATCACACATCAGCTGTCGAATATCGCCAATATACTATTTAATAATTCCCATTGTAGCATTAAGAACACAATATTCAGCGAAGAGACTCTTTTCAACAACGAATTTATTATCAAGCTTTACAATGGTATATGTATATGGTTTACTTTATAAGAAATTATATCCGGTGAGGGAGGGAATCAGATCAAAGGTGTGAATACATGAAATGCAACTAAAATATTTATGATTATAATCATAGTTTAATGTCAAGTGACACGTTGAATGTTCAGTTCACCTTCAATAATGAGATTTTTACACAGAGAGACGGCATTGCCATGGGATCACCACTGGGTCCCCCTGTTGACTGATTGTTTTTGTGGCAAAGCTTGAAAAAATTCTCAACTGAGTCAAACCATCAGTCATTTTGACATTTAGAGAAGATACGTACGTAGACGACACTTCCGTTATATGTGATAATAACGTAATTCTCGATGATGTCTTATTTGCTTTCAACACAAAACTGTCATCCTTCTTTACAATTCACCATAGAAAAGGAATCTGAACTAAGTATTCCGTTTCTTGATGTGTGCCTTGTAGCAGACGTACTGACGGATCTCTCAAAAGATATATCCACCGGAAACGTACATGGAACGGACAACTAACTAATTTTTATAGCTGGGTGCCTATTTCCAGGAAAAGGAACCTAATTCATTCGCTCTGCTTCACGATAAGGAAAATTTATAGTTCTGATTGCGTTGACTCAGAATTTGACTTCTTAAAAGCCACGCTTGCAGAAAACGGTTACCACCCTAACCGATTTATTGACAGCAACATGAAGATAAGATGAGCAGTCTAAACTGGCCACCGACTGACTCAGTTCCAAAGAAAACACCTTATTCATGAACTTGGAATTCAAAGGTGATGATCAAGCTTCAGATATGCTCAAAAATCAGTCAGTAAGACTTGCTATGCAACAAAATTACATATGACGTTCACTAGCCGCAAGTTGTTCTCTACCTCTGTGTAAAAGATAAGCTTCCCACGTCTGGCCGCCTCCATGTGCATCTATCAGTTCACCCGATCCTCTTGTGGAGTAAAGTACATTGGCCGTTGCCAGAGGACGCCTTCCACACGGATATGAGGACATATTCCGGCATAACTTTACAAGGAGGAAAGGAAGTGTGTGCGAAGTGCTCTATTCTGGAACACCTGATCGACTTCTGTCACTCCACACCAACCCTGACCATGATTTTAAGATCATGTATAGAATTCATGCTAACTTCCCGGCCGCGTTCTCTTCGTTACAGACTTCTAAAGACAGCTGAGGCCTTGGCAATTCACAACCTTAAGCCAGCCAGATGGGTCTTTGTGTACAAAAGAAGTATGTACAATCCCTACTTCTGTCTTGGCGGTATAGGGATAGACATTTATTTATTTTGTTTATTTAGTTATTCTATGTACTTTTCCCTTATTACTACGATTATTATTAATATTATTATCATTATTATTACTACTATTCTCACACTGAATCTTTTCTACTTGATCCACTTGACATTTTAAACACAAAATTATTAATTTTTATATTTTTTATTTTTACAATATTGAATTCTATCTTATCAAATTTCACACCATGTTATGTAACATCTTATATTCGCCTTCTAATCCTATAATTATGTACCCCTTCCCAACAACATCTATACACCTTATGTATTATTATTCTATATATAACATTAATTATTTTGCCACTTGACATTAAACTATGATTATAATCACAAATATTTTAATTGCATTTCACACTACTTGCTTTACTTCGGCTATCTCTTACGAGAGGATGAGCCGGCTTCATGAACATCTCGAATCATCACTGCCTAGGCGCGGCGATCTGATGCAAGGTTTTGCGACAGGGTTATCCAATTCTTGTTCCACAGACGGAGTCCGTAGACGGTTTGTAGCCCCAAGCACTCCATATCAGCCTTGACTGTACCAAGCCATGTTTTCAGCTGTCCACCCCATCGCGACATCGCCAAGATGGTAATGGCGAGGGATTTAGAACTGATTTGACCAGATCGTCGTCTGGTCGGCGCAGAACATGGCCAAACCAACGAAGGCGACGTTGTTGGACCAGTACTGGAATTTCATTGATGTTGTAGCAACGACGACGCACTTCTTCGTTGGAGAGTTTGTCCTGCCAACGAACATGCAGAATGTACCTGAGGCACCCGTTCGTAAGAGAGTTCATGAAGTTTCATGGGAATTTGGTACGAGTGATGTCCCCAGAATCGCTCGGTGTTATGATGCTAGATCCTTTGTCACGCGGTCACTGCTTAACTACTGACCAGTGCCCACTTAACTGGTAAAGCAGAACGCGAAGAAAGTCAACTGTAAAACCGGGTTCATTTATTACGACAAAAGTGACTGTATTTATACAGAAAATAAGGTAGACTGCAAAATCAACCAATCCAGTTGAGAGTTTGAATTGTGCAAGCGTCCAATCAGAAGCAGGAGCAATTGCATGTCAACGACTTGCTAATAACGCGATAATAACTTGACTGATGACCCGATAATAGTATGTGTTTTGGCTCTTCCTAACACTCGGCCTTCTGTTTGAGAGTGCAGCTCTAGCCTTTACACAACCAAGTGTGGCCTACAAGGCAGTAGGAGTGGAGTAGGGAGTCCACTATCCATTGGCAGCCGGTGACCGGAGTTCGGTTCATACACGCCTTTTTGAATGGGGCCAGACATCCAGGACATCCAACAAGCCCTTTGTCCATACGTCTGGCGGTGAGCTCCAGTGAGCTTCATACGCCATTCCTTGGAGGTTTGTATTCACACCTTTGATCTAATTCCCTCCTTCACCGGATACAATTTCTTAAAAAAAACCATATATATACGATTGTACAGCTTGGTAATAAATTCGTTGTTGAAAGGAGTCTCTTCGCTGAATATACCTTGTGTTCTTAGTGCTACAATGTGAATTATTAAATTATCTGTTTGTATTTTTTCTCCAGAAACCACTACTGCATTATTCTCATGCATAGACTTCTAATTGATTGATTGGTTGATTAACTGTTTACAGGATATTGTAAAATTGACGCACGAGAAACAACCTGCAAGAGTAAAGACTGTGTAGAACAATTCTGCTCATGCTCTTTACACCAACCACCTTAGAAGACCCAAATCATCACTAATTTCACACCTGCAAACCTGAATACTTTAGTCATAATAACCATAGGTACTCACATAGAAGATACATTTTTACGAGTTGATCACGGATTGATATCAGTGTGGAGTTAGAGAAGCATTGAAAACCAGCATTGAGGGAGTAATGGACAGCCAGCTGTTCCATCAGCCTAGTTTGGGGATCATCGGCAGTACGTACCCACCACTGCATCGGGCTTCGAACCCAGGACCTTCCGGTTACAAGCAAGGCAAGCTAGCTGGCTCGTATACCATTCAGTCACTGACTGGGACCCGATTCCTCAATGGCCAGTGCATGAATTCTAACTGCTACCAATTTGTGATTTAACCAGTGAGTGCGTACTGCCAATGATTCCCAAACTAGTTTGATGAAACATCTGTCCCGTACTGTCTGTGGCTGGTTTTCAATGCTTCTCTAACTGATATCAATTCGTGATAAACTCGCAAAAACAAAACATAACTAACCCTAACAAACCAAATTATACAAAATTAATCGGATGCTCGCTAGTGACTTGCTACAGGTTGAATTTCCTAGAGTCAGTCAGTTCTAGTGAGAACTCGTGAAGTCCAGTGAGGTCCATGCAGATGTCACGTGTGTGGATGGATGTCCCACCGACGACATTGGTTGGTACCAGTCGCGCTAAATGCATCACGAATTGGTAGAAGTTAGAATTCATGCACTGACTGGCCATTGAGGAATCGGGTCCCAGTGAGTTGTGGCTGAATGGTATACGAGCCAGCTAGCTTGCCTTGCTTGTAACCGGAAGGTCCTACGTTCGAACCCTGGTGCAGTGGTGGGTACGTACTGGCAATGATTCCCAAACTAGTTTGATGAAACAGCTGTCTGGCGGTACTCCCTGTGGTTGGTTTTCAATGGTTCTCAAACCGATATCAATCCGTAATCAACTCGTAAAAAAATATATGATAAACTGTTTATTTTTGTTTCATTTATATAATTAATTTGCACTCCACTTGTGTGTGGCATTCGTCAACTTACATATATCATCTTTGGTGCAGACGATGTAGACATCCGACTATTGGTCAATAGTCGTATTTACTGCGCAACAGCTCACCCTGTCTCCTTCCTTATGGACTCATGGCTGGGAGACATGATCATCGAAGGTAGAAGAAAGACTCAGAAAAGAGGGTTAGTTGCCTTTAACTTCAAATATGTTGGTGATCTGTCTCGTCTGTTAGGTAGTGCAGCTATACTGGTATGCTCAGTAGAGTACTGATGTTAGGCGTAGAGTAATGACTAGTAAGGTGGAAGAAGCCAGTTGATGAGGCTGTAAAAGTGCACCGATTTTAGATGGCTAGGACATGTGTTACTCGTGGCAATGTCCTCGCTGGGATATCCATCCTCACACATGACATCTGGATGGACCTCACTGGACCTCACGACTTCTCACTAGAACTGACTGACTCCAGGAAACTCCATCCTGTAGAAGTTAGAATTCAAGCACTGGATGGCCATAGGACAATCGGTTCCCAGTCAGTGACTGAATGGTATACGAGCCAGCCAGCTAGCTTGCCTTGCTTGTAACCGGAAGGTCCTGGGTTCGAACCCCGGTGCAGTGGTGGGTGCGTACTGCCGACGATTCCCAAACTAGGCTGATGGGACAGCTGACTGTCCAGTACTCCCCGCAATGTTGGTTTTCAATGGTTCTCTAACTGATATCAATCCGTCATCAACTCGTAAAAACAAAAGTAACCCTTACAAACCAAATTATAGAAAATTAATCTGATGCTTGCTAGTGACCACTAGCTACAGGATGGAATTTCCTGGAGAATGCGTGAGGTCCAGTGAGGTCCGTGCAGATGTCACGTGTGTGGATGGATGTCCCACCGACGACATTGGTTGGTGCTAGTCGCGCTAAATGCATCACGAATTGGTAGAAGTATGAATTCATGCACTGGCTGACTGGCCATTGAAGAATCGAGTCCCAGTGAGTGGTGGCTGAATGGTATACGAGCCAGCTTGCTTGCTTTGCTTGTAACCGGAAGGTCCTGGGTTCGAACCCCGGTGCAGTGGTGGGTGCGTACTGTCGATGATTCCCAAACTAGGCTGATGAAACAGCTGGCTGTCTGGCAGTACTCCCCACAATGCTGCTTTTCAATGCTTCTCTCTAACTCCACACTGATATCAATCCGTGATCAACTCTTAATTTCATTTATACATTTTCTTACCTTCTCTCCGCCGCAACAGCTAATTCATTTCCAGTATCTTCAGAGACAGTTTCACTAACCAAAGTCATTGACTCACGATGTGGCTCATCTGCAATGATAAATAATCAATAAATAAAGGAAGGTATCAGAGCTATAAAAAAGAATATCTTATTAATCTAACTGGCACAATGATATTGATATTGTGAAAAAAGACGTACAATGCTTAGCGTCTTATTGTAGACCTCCCCCCCCCCCCACCTCCCCAACCCCAGCTTCCACTTCATGGACAGAATTCCCCACTTTCACATTTCATCTGACATCATCACTCGACGCATATGGTCGGTCGGTTTTCGACATAGAACTTTGCACATATGTGCGGCAGTTCAAGTCGCCACACTCCCTCCACCCCATGTAGCACACAAAGCAAGAGATGAAAGTAGGAGAAATGCATAATACAGAGAGACAGTAAACAGAGGTGTAATGAGACAAAGGAATAGTAATAACGAAGAACACAATATAGTTTCATTGAAAATCATAAGTCACAAGGAGTGGATGCATCTGCGCCGGCCACTGCTAACGATTTTGAGCCATGTCACCAACTGTTTCCAACCACTGGATTTTACCGTCCCGAGGACCCCAACCAGAAAGTCAGGAAGTCTACACCTTCCTACGTGGCTTAGACTAACTGTTGTAGATTTCATTGACTGGTGAAACCATGTTTTGGTTTGACCGCCTCTAGCTCTTTTCCAGCCTGACTAATCCTATGTCAGCTAACATTGCCCGTCAGTCGAGGAAGGCGATGACTAGGCATACGTAAAACATGTCCTAACCATCTCAGTCGAAGTAATTTCAACATTTCGTCGATTGATTTCCCCGCCTTACCTAGCACTCAACCGATGCCTAACGTCAATATTGCTCACCTTATTATACCACTCGACGCATATGACACACACACACACAACTCTAAACAAACATGCCTCACAAGCCAACACACCTAATTTTTAACAGAGTGTGTCTTCATCAGCAATAAAATCTTCCTAGGCAGTATTTTTGCAGTCTGGAACACTGCTGAAACATCTATCACTCTCTCTCTCTCTCTTTGTGAACAAGTTGTCCATTTTCGTCAGCCTACTCGTGGTACTACAAAACCTTTATAGATAGGAGTGAGGACACCCACCGTCTGTACACTTTCATTACAGCCTGAAATCTAAATCCACTTGTATGTGTGTGTGTGTGTTTGTGTGTATGTCGTCTTCACTGGTCCACACCCCATAAAGTTCCCACATGCTTACACGAGCTAACATTTTACGCATCAGATTAAACAAGCTCAATCCTCCCTCCACTACTTAAATAATTAATTATAGCAAAACTGATTGCACTCCCGTAATATTAGGTAACGTGCCCCACAATCAACACCAATCTCATGAAAGTATTCGGAATTCTCAAGGACGAATTATTATTATTATTCCCTTGGTTTCCTAGTGGAACATAGGACTTCAACTGCACGCCTCCACTTGCTTCTCTCTTCTGCTGTACTTTTCATTTGCATCCATGTTAGTCCATACTGTTTCAACTCCTCTTCACACGATCTCCTCCATGTCACCCTTGGACGTCCCACTCGCCGCTTCTCTTTCGGGTTCCACTCGAGCGATGGCCTGAGGCGAGATGTCACCCCGAGCGATGCCTCCTCAGCGAGTGTCCAATCCGTCTCGACTTTCTCCTGCATATTTGTTGGGCGATTGGTTCTTGTTTCGTTTGTCCCCATAGTTTCTTGTTGGTGATTCTTTCCAGCCATCTGATCTTCAGTATAGAACGAAGACAGCTGTTGTTGATAAAGGTCTGCAACAGGCTGTTGGAAATATTCTTGGTGACCCGCCAAGTTTCTGATCCATCCGTATAGAAGAAATGACTGACTTGACGTTGGTATTGAAAATCCGAATTTTGCTGTTGAGTATGGCTGAGTGACGAAGATTTGCAGATTGGTTTCAGGTTGATGAATGTGTTTCTCGCCTTCCCGATTCTCGATTTGACATCCTCGTCCGTTTTTCCTGTAGTTGAGACAATGCTCCCTAGCTGGATAAGTGAATGAAGTAACCTCTTTCAAATCCCTCCCGTTGATGGTGATTGTCGCTGGTGGATGTTGCTGTTGTTGTTGGTTGGTTATTTTCCTTGACATCCGTCTTGTCTATGTTCACCTGGAGTCCTGTCTTTCTGCTTCTTCGACGAGTTTCTCAGTTTTCGCTTGTAAGTCTTCGATTTTGTGTGACATTAAACATAAATCATGCACGCGCGAAATCCAGGTCTTCTAGGTTCTTCACGTCGGTCCAGGATATCCCTGTCTTCTCGTTTTCCACTGTCTGACGACGCATAATCCAGTCCACCACAATTAGGAATATCATTGGTGATAATAAGCACCCTGGAATTACACTACCCGATAATTTTTTTATCACCATTCATAAAACATCCGAAATCCTACAAATTGGTGCCCACCACCTCCATCGATGTCCCACAAGAACCCATGATAACTCCTTCTTCGAAAGCAGCACGCCATGATATATTCAGTTTGTTTTTTTCGGAAGAATCGACAACAAATGTAACGGAAAAAGGCAAGATAATTTCGCGTAACGGACTTTTTTGTTGAGGGAAATCACACACCATAACATGTTTATTCTATTAATTGAATTTTAGATTTTCCCCTCGATTGATTGATTGAACCGAAGTGCTCGTCGGTCTCAGATTGACACGTCTGTCAGCTTCTTGTGCAGATGATGCTTCGACGATGTCTGTCTGGGGATTTAATTAGAATTGAATTGGTGGATGGTGGGTGACTAGCAGTGGAATCCAGTCCAGGATGCGCATTTCGTCCTATTTGGGACTCGCCAGTTGGCTGGATGTACCTGCATTTCTCAGTGAGTGAGTGAGTGAGTGATGATGTTCCCACCATGCAGGCTCGAACCCAGTGCCCATAGTTTCTAACACCAGCAGCCAAAGCGTTATCCACTAGACCGCTTGGGCCACGAGAGCCACCCTACTTTTTGTGCAACGGGTCATATTAATTATTTAATTGAATTTTAGATTTTTCCGTCCGTCGATTGATTGGACGTTTGGCGTTTGAAACTATGGGCAGTGGGTTCGAGCCTCGGTGCGTGGAACATCATCCCTGACTCACTGGGGAATTCAGGTACATCCAGTCAGTCAACTGACGAGTCCCAAATAGGACGAAATGCGCGTTATCCACTGCTAGTCACCATCCACCTATTAAATACATGTTAAGTCACATTTATGGTTGGCTAGGTGAGAGAATAATAATAAATAGTTAAGTTTCTGACGCTTCAACCCTGAGATTATCTCCTCACCACCACCACAATGTAAGCGGAGAACCGGGTTTCAGAAATAAACGCTTCTACTTTTTTCAAATCACGGACTATTCACATTTGATCATAGGGAATAATAAAAAAAGACAGTAATAGAGAAGATTTGTAGCTCAGATGGATGATTTGCAATTAAAAGTGTTCTCTGAAGAGCTGGTTGGTTTAGTTGCGAAGCTTTCGTCGTCCCCCCTGCTGGACAACATCCCCCTTCAGCGCCATATTTAGTACAAAGTGAAATGATTTAAATTTCTTCATGCGTGATGTAATTGCGTCTCCTGGTTACTATCTTTACATATGTATTGACCACTTTCTATTGACTTGGATTTTAAACTTTTTGGTCACCTGATTTACTTTTTATTAATTGGTATATTTCATCTATATTAACATGTTTGTTAATCGCATTTTCGCTTGAGTACCAGGCTTCTAGGAATCCTCTGGCACTTTTCGTGTTTCCTCTGTCTAAGATTTTGACATGATCCCAATCAAACTGATGACCATAATTGTCTGCATGCATTGATACTAAAGAATACATATCATGTCTTTTCACGGCTGATTTAAGTTCTTGGATTCTGATTCGAACGGGACGCCCACTTTGGCCGATGTAATGCTTGTTACAGTTCATACAATTTATTTTGTAGATGGTATTAATTTTATCCCCTTTTTCTGTTGGATCTTTTGGTTTGCATAATATCGAATTAAGCGATTTTACTGGTTTGTGTGCTATATCTATATCTAACGGTTTCAGTATTCTGGCTGTTATTTCAGAGATATTCCTCATGTATGGTAGAATGAATTTTCTTGTGGTCTTTGATGATGATGGCTTGTTGTTGGTGTTTTGACTCGACTTCAAACACTTTTTGATGAAATTTTGTGGATAACCATTCTTTTTGAAGACCGTTTGTAGAATGGTGATTGATAAAGAACTGAGTAATCTCCGAAAAAAAAACCTGATGGAAAACGGTTTTCCGCCTAGGTTCATAGACAAGAACCTTAAATCAAAGAAGACTTCCAAACAAGTCCAATTTTTCCCCAAAACATAATACATCTGCTTAATCTAAAATTCAAAGGTGACATTGAAGCAGAAATCCTTCGCAAACGCCTCTACAAATCTCTAAGGAAGACATACTTTGCCGCGAGCCTACGATAAACATTTTCCTGCAAGAAACTGTTCAAACAAAACGCAAAAGACAAGCTGTCGCATTGGGCCACTTTAACGTGCATATACCAGCAGTTTACTTGCTCTTTGGCGGAGCTGCTGAGTACATCGGCCGTACCATGCGCCCACTTACTTGATAAAAGCGCTCGTGAACACTATCCGGCCTGGTTAGTAAAAGGGAGAACGAAAACGTGTGTATATAGTTCAGTGACAGAACATCGGGTCAATTCAGGACATTCAGCGCCATTCGAAAAATCCTTCAAAGTAATATACAAGATTCCATCAAACCTATCAAAGGGAGTAAAATTAAGACATCTGGGCATAACCGAGACACTAGCCATCCAAAAGCTTAAACCCACGCTGGGTATCCGAAAGAAATACGTCCAATCCTTGTGCCTGCCTGCCATGGCTATCATAAACAGGTGATTCTTTGAATAGTGGCTATCCCATTGACTTTCTTATCTAAACTTCCTGTTTATTCATGTTATTTCAAGTTTTTCTTACTCCCTCCGATTTACACTACCATATCTTCATATCCGTACTACCTGTCTATTTTGTCATT